CCATAGAATATTCGAAAATCAAGAATATTTAAGCGAACAATTATTTTCAATAACTTCGTCATCAGGCTCTATACAGTTAGAAGTTCATAATTATTATTATATTTTACAAAGGCTAAAATAAGGCATTCACTAATGAATTCGACAAAGTTATATGTTAAAAATGCGGAAATAGTTTTTTATCCAAGTTTAAATAAGTAAAACAACTGTTATAAATATTTATTATTAATATTATTATCAAACTAGAATCATAAGCTCAGAATTGAACGTTGAATGGCTCGTATACCTGACGACTGATCATCAAGCAGTATCCAGTTCAATTAATTTAAACGTTTGAAAAGTACTGCATCCAATACTTCACAGAAAACAAATTCTAGTTGAGTCGGAAGAGATCATAACGTTTAAATTAGAAGCCGAATCCATAAACGACTGGTTTGAAGGACAGATATAATGAATTATTAAAAAATTTCCAACTTAGGTTTCTTTTAAACAATTCCTATATAATACGAAAGTCACTACAACATAAAAATGTTATTTATTCGGTATACCCTGAATTTAGACGTCTTATTCTGTACCTTATCAAATTAATTAAGTGTTTAGAAAGACTAGATACATCACTTTATTTTTAGAATTGTTCTCTTTAAAAAAAAAAAAGAAATCTGAGGCGTGGAAAAGTTCAGAGAATGAGTTTTACCTGATAGGGATGGGGTTGCTGTACACCAAAACCTCCTTTACCGGAGCTTAAGATCGGCGTCAACCTTGAAAGGCCACCAAATAAAGTTTATGGATAAGTTAAGTATTTGAATTTTAAAAAAACTACTTCGGTAATATTATATATATGCAACAAACCTTCAAATCTTGAACAGAGCCCGGATGAACAAGAGAGCATAACAAACGTGGATCATCAACAGTATCACCGAGCACACCAGCAGTAGTACAATCTTCCTTCTCTGATATAGGTTTAACTGTTTCATTATGATTATTAACAGAAGGATCACTGCTATACTGCCATAAACAAACACGATTCACCTAAACGCAATACAAAGTGAAAATAATGATAAATGATATAAATAATGATTAATTAAATGTTCAGTTTTATTTTCGAAAAGTAGGCAAAAAACAAATCAAAAGTAAAAACAAAAATGTTGAAGCATAAATTAATTTTAAATGGAAACACATGGTAAATTACTGACAATGTATAACAGTAAAACGAATAAAATGAACTACTGTGGTGCGTGCTATTTATATGGACAGATATAAATAGTACATGTCAAGAATTGAAAGTAGGATTTTTATTAACAGAAGAAGAACATGAAGAGAAGAAAATGAAAATCAGAAGTAGTACGAGTAGCAACAGGAATGGTAGAACGATGAAATTTGTAAAAGACAATTCAAGAAAGATGTGAAAATGGTGTATATGATTTTGCTTAATACAATATAATTGGTTAACACTAACCAAGTCTTCGTTTATTACAATGCTTGATTCTTTAAAGGATTCTATTCATATAATATTCTGTGTATGATCGATTGATTCATTAATAACTCCGCCTGAATTCCCTCCGGGGGCTACTGTCGGTCCCAAGCCCGAATAAAGGAGGAGGGTTGGGCATGGGGTTAGCGTCCCCATCCCGTAGAAAACTAACTCGCTAAAAAAACGCTAACCAGAAAAAATTATTCATTAATAATAACCGAAAAATAATTGTATTTTTTGTTAACATGTAAAATCGATTGGATGAGAGTTTAGTTCTAAATAAAATTTACTTAAAAACCGTTAGATAGCACGGAAAAAGTGCCCTATCTTACTACTGATGAACATATCCGATGTTTATTGTCAATTTAGAGGTAAAAATATTTACAATTCTGAATTTATAGTAAACTCGAGTATCTGTTAAAATTTACGCATATAAGGTGCATTAAGTTTTTTAACCTAATAAAATATCTTACTTCACATAGATTGGTCTCTGATCAATAATCACTAATATTGTGTTTGCCTGTTTCTTAGTGCTAATCTAATTCCATATATATCGACTATGTGGTGACATTTCAAGCTATGAAGCTGGGTGATACGGGTCCAAATTCACCAAGAATTATCATTCCCCTCAAATTTACAAGTACGCCTTGTTGATGAGTGCAAGATAGAACAAAAAATACCTCAAGGGTTTCCCGTCGACTACCTCCAACCATCTAACATCTCAACATAGTGTACGATAGTAGAATAGTAGTCATAATTCAGTTGATCGATAGAACTCGATCAACACTAAAGGGAAAAACAAACATGAAATTCGTTACAACTCAGTGATCAATCAAATATAAATATCTCACTCCTACCTACAGGAGATCAGTTGCGGCCAAATAGTCCATGGTAATATTTCTGAATACGTGGCAGTGGATTTGAATCCTACGTGGATCATCAAGACCATAGACACATCTAGAGATACCTTACAATTTTATTCGACAAAATAATAACAAATCCCTTATTTTATTATGATATATCAAGAAACAAATCGAATAAATTGAATACAATATAAAAATAAGGAATTTTATTACCTCTTCCAACCAACTACCAGTAACAATTAATTCTTGGTATTGTGTCTCTGGTTTACTGACAAATCGAACACGAGATAACTTAAATGAAATACACTTAACACTCGAACGATTAGAACATTGGACCATTTTGAATTTGTCACTATTATTCAGGAATAATTTTAGAGCTTATTAATACAATAGCCAGTATTAGTTGAACTTTCTAAAATAATAAGGTAACAAACAGAACAGATATTGAAGTTGAAATACATAACGAATTAGTAGGTTTGCATAATAATGAAGTTTAATTTCATACGGTGAAAAACGAGAAAAATTGATTAATAAACTTTGAACATCGATGACGCATCTTATAACTGATAAGCGTCAGCAATCAAGATCCCGACATCTCAATCATCTAAATGTAACCAGAAATTTGTCAAAAAAAACAATGAATAAAATAAATCCCGATCATTTGGCTTACTGGTCACTCAATTGTAGTTCTTTAGTAGTAAGTAGGGGTTAAGTTAGCACTTGAAGTTAAAATAAGAAATCAGCTTTAAAAGTAAATTACTAAGTAGCGAATACTTTTATTAAATAAAAATAATTTACAATTTCATTTGAATTGGTTGTTTGAATCTTCCTGTTGATGTTAAGAATTACAATTGATCAGTTTCTATTTAGTCTATGTGCATCATAGACGAACTGCCTCGATTTCTCCATTAACTCACAAGTAACCAATATAAATGGATTCAACTTCATCTCATGCCATAAGTCAGTGACTATCTACACTCCGTAGTTAAGTCGAAAACGTGATGGCGTTTGGAGTGGACTGTACTGGGTTCGAGTTCCAAAGTGAACATCAACTCTTGGATGCAAGTAAATCCAGTGAACGAAACCTAAATAGGAGGAGATGTGTGTTCAGGATTCCACTGATAGTCATCATCCATTTTTGCTTATAATCTATAAGTTATCATCTCCAAAGAGACCAAGTTTATTGGATTGAATCCTTATACTGAACTTATAGACATTATGATAAAACAATATACAGATATACAAATACAATATTTAGGTTTGCATGATTAAATCTCTAATAAATGCTAATAGGAATATGCATATTGATGATAGAACAAAGTAGTTACAAAATTATTGCTTTAATTTCAACAGTTGAGATCATGAGTCAATTGAAGCTAGACCACCATGGAAAACCTAGAAGCACTGGACGGCCGTTTCGTCCTAGTATGGGACTCCTTAGCAGTGCGCATCCACGACCCCGCCTCGCGGGATTCCGACCCAGAACCTATCAGTCTCGCGCCAGGCGCTTAACCAACTAGACCACTGAGCCGGCCGGCATCCAACGGTGTTAATGTCTATCTTCAACGAATCCACGAAATTCGGCGACACATCACCATTGTCATCAGTGAGTTACTATCTTAGAGCAGACCCGGTTGAGCTCCACTGGTCACTGCTTCTCACTAGAACTCCAGGATATACCTCTTGAAGCCAGACACCAGTGATTAGTATCAGAAGGAGTTTTGTGGAGATTGTAGTAATTTCAACAGTTGAGATCATGAGTCAATTGAAGCTAGACCACCATGGACTTATGATCTCAACTGTTGAAATTACTACAATCTCCACAAAACCCCTTCTGATATTATTGCTTTATGTGAAAATCGCTTTTTCCTTGTCGATAATTAATCAAAAACAATTGAAAGTTTAGCAAAACCGTCGGTCATGAAGAGGTTGGGGATAGATCTATAGATAACAGTATATAATATAATAAATTACTGACTATCTGAATATCACACAAATTTCTAGATAGTAAGTAACATTAGTCACTGCAAACCAGATTTATCAATGGTGTATTTCTGATCACTAAACCAAATGTGATGGAATATTTTGTCCTTAAAATAGAGAGAATACCATGAAATATTGATTTCCAGCAATTATTTACAGTACTTTATTTACATTTACACATCCATATACTCAGCTTTGATTTATACTTTAGGTGTAAAGGTTCTTGATACTAATCAGCTAGCCAGACAGAAATAGGTGTGGTGGAGTTTGAACAATCAACAACTAACAGTTCAAAATTGAATGACTTGATCAACAAAGGTACTACACTTCACTTTCCAACAATACTGTTGTGAAATTTGTAAGTGATGGATATTTTATCTTATATATTTAACATATGAAATTGTAATTTTTTCAACATTCAACGCAAAAAAAAAGATGACCAAAGTACATATGTATAATGATTCCAATGCTCATGATGTAATTACAACAAACAAACAAAAAAACTTTTAAAATGAACCAAGAAAAAAGATAGAAAAGAATCATAACTTTATTCAATATATGGATTTTTATAAAACGATATCTAACATCTTTACAATGTTATCATTTAGAAAAAATAGCCAAATTAATTAATGTACACGTGGAGAACATTGAAAATCTACAATAAACGATAATTGTGTGTGTTCTCTTTATGTCTCATTACTACTATGTCCCATTGATTCATCTCTCTGTTCTGATGATAATATATCAAGTTGTAGATCATTATTATTATCATCATCATCATCATCATTAACGTTATCAATAGAAGTAGTCAGAGAATTCTGAAATTTTGAATGTACCGCCGCAGTGACACTATTAATTGGTGTTTCACAAGTAGTATGATTAAAAGATTCATCGTCACAAGGAAGTGATGTTGGTGGATGCGAATGATGAACCGGTGTTGTTATAGTAGTCATTGATTCCATCGAGGAAGTAGCAGCAATAGAAGTGATATTTTTAGCACTATTTCTATCATTAATATCATCTTCACCATAACAAATGCTTGCAGTTAAGTGACCTGAATGGATTGTAAGTGCTGCTGATGATGAAGGAGGTTGCTTGGAAAGATGAAGTCTCCTCGATACTGTTGATTCATTGAAAGAAGTGAGAGCCTCTTTCAATGAAATACTCAAGGGCTATAATTAAAAATGATAAGTTAGAGAAAATATTACTAAACAATAATGAGGTCTTATAAATACATCTTTACTAGCTACGAAGACAAAATTTTTAAATTATATATATATATATATATATATATATATATATATATATATATATATATATATATATATATATATATATATATATATATATATATTATTCCACATTTTGAAAGTAGAAATCTTATCCCAATCTTACAAATTATACAAGGCATATCATCTCTACTGTATTTCATAAACATCCAGAGTGAGATGGGGATAGGCCTTCTAAGAAAGAACGCTTAATGTCTCTACACAAGACACCGTACATTCGTCTAGCGTATACAGAGTGTAATTAAGTTTTCATAACATAACTTATTATAAGATAAAATTAAGATATAACTTAGAAACTTGTATTGTTAAAATAAAATCGAAATTTCAACAAAGAATGCCATTTTCATAAAATCAATGACTGCTTAAACACTTATCTATTCAATAGATTTGAGATAATTCGACAAAGATCGAACATTATTACTTGAAAATTTATTCAAAAGTTGTTCAATAGTTGAAAGAAAGTATTCCATTTTCCTTTCAAATGGATAACATTTTATATCTAGCACATATGAATTTAGTAGGGACTTTGAGATACATTAAACATACAAAAAACACAATAAACAATTACAAGAAACTCAAATGAATTGGTTCCATATTTTAAAGAATTTTACTGTTTAGCATTTTCTACGCATTACCACTTGATAATAAATAATAAAAAATGTCAACAAAGTTTTCATTGGAATTCAAGCTACAAATGTAATCAAACTAACAGAAGTCATAATATATCAAAGGATATGAAGGAATCATATAAGCAGTTAGAAAGTCAAATAAATCGATAAGTAGCTTTTATTTCACAGATCAGAATGATCTCTGTGACGACGGACCACCGGTGAACTCGAGGAAGCTGTAAGAGGCTCAGAAGGAGCCGAAGACGTCCCATCCAATCACCTTCCGGAAGAATGTTCTAGAATTCCAACGTGTAGCTTCCCGATTGGATAGTGCTAATAACCCCCTCTATGCGGATTGGAAGACTGTAATGATGATTTCGTTCTCACTAAAAACTATAAATACCTGATAATTTTGTACTATGATTGACACTGTTTGGAATAATATTCCTTTCGTTAGTCTTCTGTCTTCTTATTGCGACTTGGAAGGGTTTTGGTGTTCTAGTGCTCTGTTATACGCGGTATATCGAGAAAAACAGCTTTTCAAGATATAACAATCTCTTTTACCATAATACTAACCGTTTGGTTCGTTTTAGATTAGATTCATTAATTATGTTTACATAGATGAAATTATATTGCACTATAACGCTTCTAATAACAAGAATTATTGCTACGTTTATTATATTTCAGTTTGAATTTTGAACTGCTGAAAAAAAGAAGACGAAACTCTCCCACATTTTGATGATTTTGTGCTTGTTAATGAGTAATTTCCAGATGAATTCTTCCAAAATTCTGGTTGTAAAGTCAAGTCGGGAATGAAGCGATTAACTAACTGATAACATACGAATCAAAAACTAGCTGAAGTTGAAAATATAACCCGTTTGATAAATCAAACACAAGAGTATGAATGTTATACTTCCTGTGAAACTTAAAGCTTCTAAACTTGACCTTACTAACTCATTTACCAGGTACACATTCATGTAATTAGCTTTAAGCTATGCTCTAATTATGAGGACTAGTGGTAATAACAGGTTACTAGAACCGTAGTAGGTGGAACGGTTTTCAGACCTGCAACTTAATAGCTGAAAGTCGATCACTATAACCACTGAACTACCAGTCCAAGATTCTTCGCGTAGACATTTTAAAGTCAATTAAAATTATGAAGAAACATCTTTATCGAATTCTAACGGTTTTGTTGTAAATATCAGTATTTGTGGTAAAAAACTAATCTCCAGTAGTTTTACAATGAAATATAACGTATAGATTGATAGTCAATTACTTCCAGCCAACTGAAATCAGATATCATTAAATTATTGAAGATTTTGTTAAATATAAATAAAATAAAAACCTGAATTTCTTTCGCAGCAGATTTCATAACTTCCGTTCTGGAAAACTCCGATTCTTCTGCTTTCCTTGATGTTTGTAAGTCTAGAAAAAAGAACAGAAAAATGATATCCTTAGGTTGAAATGATCAAAGGTGTTTTAGTTTGAATAAATATATATAATGAAGTGAGAAGGAAAGCGTTTTTTTTTCGGAAAGAAATAATATTCAAAATAAAGTCATCCGTTGGAGAATGACAACTGCTCATTACAAATTCAAAAGGTGGAACAAATGTAGTATTGGGTTGAAACGTTACTTTAATATAAAGAATCATATCTAGTATGAAAATCATTCAAGTATGATTATATTTTACATTCAGCAATAAATCTTACAAAAAATACATTTAGAAAGTCTTCAGTAGAATGCCTTTTCCGACAGCAGTGTTATATTGGCCATATTAATTAACTATACTGAGTTTCATGAGATATGGTGTTTTATTGTATTCTTATGTAGTCTTCATGAGATTTTTACCACCACAAATCACAAAGTACGATAAATACGCTGAGATCATATGATTAGATTAAAACATTTCAACGCGGAAATATATTCGTAGCGAACATTGAGTTAAGATAAAAAGTAATGAAGGATAACTGATTATGTAGAATCTATGGGAGGATTTGAAATCAACAAAAGAGTCAAGCAGGAAATGCTGAAACCAAATGATGATAGTTGTCTGAAAACAGAACACAACACCTAAGGACTCCAGGCACTGATAACTGTATCAAAAGCTCAGTCAAAGAAAATGTGTGCCCCAAATAAGCAAATGAGGATTAAATTACAATATGTACTATGAATCAGAAATCAGTACTTGGTTGTCGAATATTAATGAAAACAAATTAATCACAGAATTAGGTAAGGTACCCAAAATAAGCAAGATCCTATAAAGCAGTAAACACAAGGTAAAATGAATGGTGTGGGAAAGAAAAAGTACCTTTGGGATTACGAAAAATGAGTTAAATATTAGAATAATAGTAGAAATGGATAAAATATGGAATCCGTTACGAATACTACGTTACAGCACACAGGTCACAAAACAATTGTCTAAAATACTCAAACTACTGGGTGTTATTAAGTAGTGTGATGTAATACACTAAAAAATCAAATACGCAGGAAAGTTGGTTAGAAAAGGAATAGTGGGTTTAACAAGTTGTGTTATAAATTTTATTACATGTATCGATCAACAATGAGTCTAAACAATAAGTTTCACTTTGTATACACTTAATTATCAATAGAATTACTAAGTTAATTCAAAAACTTACTGTGATCTAAATATTCACAATGATCAGTTTTACTTTCTTCAATAGGTATATCGATATTATTAACCGAATCCAATGGAGCTAATTGTTCAATATCTCCAGCTAATATTGTAATTTGACGTAGCATAGCTTTGGCTTCTTCACGTGTTTCTGGATATTCAAGGCATTTATTAGCAGCTAAAGCTGAATCTTCATAATGTCCTTTACGTAAATGATAATTTGCTAAATATTTGTAAGCTATAGCTAAATTTATTTGTTCATTTACCTAAGTTAAGAAGCAATAGAGAAGTTAAAACAAAATAACAAAATTGTCTAGAATATTTAACTACATTAGTAAATATTGAATGATAATATTAAGATAATTAAAACCTGGTGTTGCAAAGAAAATTGTAAGTATAAACTACATTAAGACATACCATTATTCATGTAAGTGGTTTGAATAATTTTTTTCTGGTTAGCGTTTTTCTTTAGCGAGTTAGTTTTTTACGGGATGGAGTCGCTAACCCCATGCCCAACCCTCCCCCTTTATCCGGGCTTGGGGCCGGCAGTAGCCCCAGAGGGGCTTCATTAAATGAAGAGTTCTATAGAGTTATAAATTCAGATGTAATCTATCTTTTTATTATTATTTTGAATAAATAAATCCTTAATCTTAAACAGAAAGAAGTTTGCGAAAAAAACTATTTTAAAATATTAAAAGACTTATGAATATAATGATTTTTCTTTAGTAAATTTGAACTGAGAACTAAACCATATTTAGACTCCATTATTTATTCTAATCAGTTACCGTAGGGTTGGAAGATGGTATATATCGTAAAATCATTGCAAGTATGCGGTAGATTTATCATTCAGAAATGATAATAACACGACTAAGTGAAAAATGATCGCGAAACTTCACAAAGTTTACTTTTTAGTTATTATATTTTAGGTTTTAAACAAAGCTTCAACAGTCTAACACAAATTTATGCATCACAGTGTAAGTCGCATATATTCCATGATAATACAGTTGCAAAAAACATTTTTGAATGAATTGGATTTAGAGCATTTAAGTTATTGGTTAGAAGTATATTTCTATAGACTGGTTTAATTTAGTAAATTTTAATTTAACTCTTTTAAATGATTACTTCGGTTAAATACTTACTTGAACGATATGACGATGAGAGGTTTGTTTATCTTCCTACTTGAGAGATTAATTTAATGACTCGATAAAATATAACTCCGCTCTACTGAATATTATTGAGGTTATAACATTAATTAAAAGGCCAAAATCAGATCTTTGTTTTTTAAATGAGCTAATAGTTCATCATTCAACGACCATACTGTCATTGATGTTGGGAACAAGGTGGAAAAATTTCTTCTCTTTTAACGATGATCACAGTTCAGGGAATTCAAGTTAAAAATTTTTCATTTTTCACATATACCTAAGAGTTTGTTTATCGTATCAGTCAATAAAATTATCCGCCAATATCAGAAAATTATTATAACAATCATCTGTAGGATTATTTTAACTAGAGTTAGATTTCAGTTTTTCGTTTTTAACAATTTCCGAACATGTCAGTACTTATAATAGTATTTCGTAATTATTAGTTTGTATGTGGCTGATGAGAATGCAACCACCACGTCATATCATAACACAGTGCACATGATATTGACGTATTTAGACTTGAGACTACAATGCAACTTGACTGATAGAATTACGAAGGACTTAACATACATTACATTGATCACTACTTAGTGATCAAGTAATTTTAAATATGATGAACTTCTTGTATTCTGTGAACAATGCCGTTTAAGCTTTACTGACATTTCAGAAAAAGAACCAACTGAATTTATAGTATTCATTTGTTCAAGAATGACACTATGAAACTTCCCTACGACAATTAGAAATACAGGCATTTATTGTGAATGATACTTGTATTTTGTTCTTAAGTCATCTCATATATATATATTAATCACAACTAAGAGACAACTTACACCGTTACGTTGACATAATTTTATAAATTCTGTATAGGCTGCGGCAGCTTCCGCGTCTTCACCACATCTTTCAAAGCAGATAGCTAATCGCATCAATGCTTCACCTTCTATATCACCAACACAATATGCACGCCAGTAACACTTTTTAGCTTCATCAAATCGTTTAAGTCTCCCATAAATCTCTCCTAAAGCTACAATTAAACGTGAATCTGTAGGCATAAGATACTGCGCTTCTCTGCATGACCCATAAAAAAAGACGGGAATGGAGAAAAAGAAAAAACATTAGCAACCTATACGAATGTTGTACAGTAATATACACATGGTTCGAGTAAGTAATCACAACTGCTACTTGGGTTAAAATAGTTTTGTTGTTAAATAAATTTAATATTATATAGACCAAAAAGAAGTGATACATACAGAAACTATAGGACTTATAATGCAATCAAGTGGTATTTATTTCAAAAGCTATAAAGCAACAAACATTACGACTGAGCCAGTTATCCTTAATCCCATTGGATAATTGTTGCAAATTGGTTGAAGTTGAAATGGTATCGTCGGTTAGGCATTTGTTGAGAGATTTGAAGGTTCTGGATTTGACAGGTGGCAAGATCGTAGATGTGTACTATTAAGTCTCATACTAAGATAAACCAACTATCCAGTGCTCCTTGGCCTCGAAATCCAAAACTTAAGTATCAAGTCAATAAATCATAAAAATGAAGTAACATATATTGTATTTCAAATTGGCAAGAGGAAAATTACAACAAAAGAGCGAACTGACTTGAAAGTGAGTTTAAACAAGCATTACAGCTAATACGTTATATGTGGTCATACATACCTGACAAAAAAATCATAATAGCAACAGGAAAAAATGCTTCAAAAACGTTTAAACTCACTAAAATTATGCACGATTTTTAAACTTATACAAACTACTGATAGCTAAAACGTGTTAGTAATAACCATTAATTTGTATGAATAGTAAACATTTAACATACATACTGAAACTTGCCTATAATAGTAAAGTGAAAATGATGGCAAATTTAATACTTCATACATTTGCCCAAGACCATACCATGCACGGTAATCATGTCGATTATAAACAAGTGCTTGTCTATACGCATGTATTGCAGCATTTGTATTTCGAAGTTCCATAAATTCATGACCTTGGTGGAAAAATCAGCAAACAAATGACTTTAAGACCATACAAAAATAAAGTATCTTTGCTGATAACAAAGTGGAAAGGAACATGGTTCAGTCTAGACTATCATACCCGTCGTCTACATGATGATATCGAGACATTTTAAACGTGTTATCACAAAAGTTCAAATCGAATTATTAACATATACCATTAACAAAATATACTAAGATGGATGTATGTTTGCAGACCAACTGAACAGCAAGTAAGTGGACCGACATAGTCAAATAGATTACACTAATAAACGAAAACAATTTAAGCTGTTTAATCCAATTATAAGTTTATTTTTATGAAGAAAGTAGTAGAAAACCACAGCAGAACCGTCATTGGCTTCTATTTTGAGCCATATATGATGACATTTTAAGACACTGAGTTGTATCATCTCTAGGACCCCAACTAGAAATTAACAACGAATGGACAAACCCCAGTTCTATACAGATATCTTTCATACCACGGGACCACATCACAAACTGACCAGACACAGTCGTGGAGAACCCATCAAGTAGAAAATGAATGCGAAACGTTACAAACAAACCCGATAATTGTCATCCATACTATTTTTTAAGTACTTGAATGAAGTAGTCAACTTTTAACCACAGTTTACAAGGAGTGTATTATTCAAATTAAAGCTTTCTATTGTAACTCATCAATAAAGAAGTTTTTTTACCAGAACCTATCAGTGATATAATCAGTAATTTATTAGGTTGCCTCAACAATGCTTCATTTTGGCTATCACTAGCTAAAAATGTAATTGGAGCTATGGATTTATATAACTGTTATTTTTGTATTATATAACTTTGTCGTAAAACAGTGTCACGTGGAGAGACGGTTCATGTTACTAAATAGACACTGAAGATTGTACAAATATGAAACATAGATGTAAATGAACAATGAAGAAAATCTATTCAATATCATCAAGTTTAATCAAATAATCATAATAGTTGATATAGGATAGATGGATAGTGGCTAGCAGTGGAATTTAGGACGCACGTTTCGTTCTACTTGGGACTCTTCAGCTGAATGAATCTGCATCCGAGTTTATGTTCAATCCAGGACTGGAAGTCAGTGCCATTTGCTTTAAATGTCATCGAGTTACCCATTTAGATACTTCAAACCATTTTAAACTGAATTTATAATAATAATTATTATTAAAACAACCAACCAACCAATTAATGTCCAGACTAATGAATAAGCTGTTTTTAATTTAAGAGCACGCCGAAAATAAATAACCGCTTTTTCATGTTGTCCACGCAATCCAAAAAAATTTCCGACAACACAACAAGTCTCTGCACGATATCTATCTAAATTAACACAATGATGTGCTAATAAGCCAGTTCAGTTGAATCTTCACATACAAATAAAACATTTGAATAAGTATCCACGTTGTCTAATCGACAAGGACAAGCATTGAATAACTGTAATAGTAAGAAGAAAAAAGAACGAAGTGGATATAATAAAATTGCCATTTAGGATATATATATATATATTGACGGTTGGATTATTATTAAGTAACTTTAGTTTATATATTATCTCCTTTGAAGAAGCTAGGACTAGGCTATTAAGTGAAACGTTGAAATTATTTGATTTCAATGGCTGAAACTTTTACAAATATTTGATTCTTATTTTTACTGTTTTTTTATGCACTGTGTCCAACTACAGTGAAATTACTTATTTAAATCTTGGTAAAATTTCTTAGAAGTAAGAACAACAAGGTTTGAAGAATGACATGAATGCAATTCATCTTAATTTCACTAAGGTATGTTGGACTTTTATTTATTAATTATATTAATCATTGTAATTTTTGTCTATTTGCAGCTGATGAGAAGCCGTGAAACAGAATGAATTCATTTTATTCTCTAAACCTTGTTGTTTTGCTGAGGGGACCTGGTTGTACGAAACAAAGATAAATAAAGTTATATTGTAATTACTAATCAATTGTAGTTCTCTCTTTATTTGATGACATACATTAGATTATCATAAAGAATTTTCAATATAAAATACGCAAAACTGCAACTGAAGTTTTATAAGAAATTAACTTGTGAATATTTGAAAAATATATGCATGAAGTTTTCAATGTGATTTATAGCTAGTAACATTCATTCATAAGTGTTTAGAACCAATCCTGATCCCGTGACACCCCTTTTCATTGCCGAATACATCTGATGTAATCAGATCACTCCGAGAGTATTTTTTGACTTTCTCAGTAATTAGACTAATGATATATTGTAGAAATTTTATAAAGACATGTGAGTACACGCGATTAACGGATATGGATTGTTAATTAAAAGAAATAAGGAAACAGTAAAACTAATGGTAGTTTATCCATGTCTGGCAAATTGATGATCCAGAAGTTAGAGCAGGCCATTTTATATATACATACATATTTGAAGAGATTGACTAGTGACCAACTAGTCAAGGATTAAAACTCACCCCATTTTGATCTTGAAAACTGACTAATAGCACTGATCAGGTTCTACAACTATAAATCCAAATTAATAATCCATGAAATTGGCCAGATTTAAGGCAGAGTACATCTTTTGGAAATTGTAATATGTGAATTAAGAATTGTTGTTTGTTATCAAATAAGATTAGTCAGCCCCAATAATAACGATCTGATTTGATAATAAACAACAATTCTTAATTCACATATTACAATTTCCAAAAGATCTACTCTGCATTAAATCTGGCCAATTTTATGGATTATTAATTTGGATTTATAATTGTAGAACCTGATGAGAAATTATTGAAAAGAATATTCTTCATTCATATAATTGTATTTTAATAGCACTGACTCATATAATACAGATATATTTATTAGCTTTATGCATAGATCCGTAGTTCTTAGGTGACAGAAAAGAGTATTCAATTGGTGTTTTCCGAGAAGTTAACAATTGATGGTAAGAAAAGAAGTTGAGCACTATGATACCTTTGTACTTTGACATGTGAAAAAGTAAATGGAAGTTTGAAAGGTTTTGTGTCAACATTGAGAAGACTAGTGGAGATTCTGATGTAAACTTAATGCCATGTAAAATAGTTAACACAGAGAGGTGACCAGAAACAATAGCTAGACAAATAATCAAATAAGAAAAGAAGAACATAACTTGATTCCTTCAAAATAATTTATCTCTTATGAAGTTCATGTCTAATTAATACTTGATAACTGCCAAGGATTGTTATTTTTATTTGTTCACTTATGAAACCGAATGGATCAGCTCCTAATAATGCAACTGAGTTCTTTGTCGAAACGCTCAATCCATGCTAAAGAAATCTGCAATACTATACATTTCTAATTGTAGTCTGGTTTTCTGCCTTTTGATATTATCATCCCTTAAATTTTGATATTTTACGGTGAATATCAATTAAAATTAGAAAAATAACATTGAGTTGTCTTACTTGTTATTCATCATTTAAACGTAACTGTATACCACAATAATTATTTCTATTCATATCCAGACACAACTAATAAACCATCAACACTTGATCGATTTAACTTATGAACGAAAGAGATAAATATATCAGTCACTTAGTCATGTTTAACGCAAAACCTGATATATGTGTGCAATAGTTGTCATACTATATTATTATAGTGACATAAAATTATTTCAAGAAAATTCCGAGAATACTAAAAGTAATAACCGCATCAAAAGTAATAGCAAAGGTCGAATATAGGAAAAAAGGTATAAAGAAATCTCGAGATTTGTGTTTTAAGAGAAGACAAAGTGTGAATGTGCCCAAATCATTACGAACAATTCTGAGCCATGTCACCCAAAATCCCTAACAATTGATAGAATAATTACACAGACCCCAACTAGACGGTCTTCACCTATTTACATGGCTTATTTAAATCGTCAGATTAGTTTATGGAGTGGTGGAAAGTCTTGGTTTTTCCCCTTAACTTCCTTTCAGCCTAGTCCCACACCAGAAAACACCGCATGTCGACAGAGAAGGTGGTTGGGCATACGTAAGGCATTTGTCCCAACCACCTCATCATAATACTGCTTCGATTCATTAAAATATTTAAATTCAAACTTATAGCATGAAACCGAAACCGAATGGAGTTAAATATCTATTATTCATTCATTCGGTTGTGAGTTATAACTCTAATTCATGTATTTTGATTGGATGACCTAGTAATTAACAATAATATTCGAACAACAATAATAATCACAGTTCAACACTTAAACATGAACTTAGGACTTAGTTACTGAATAACTTCTTTACCATGAATTTTGGAGGAGCTTTGAAAATAAGCTAAAATCATGAACCACAAGATTCTAATTCAGTAATGTGAAAGTAACGTACTCCAAACGATTCCTGAGTATTCTGGGTCCAATCCCTGATAGTGATCATAGATGAGTACTCCAGAGTCCAAAACTAGAACGAAATATATTTACAATTCTTACTGGCTTTTATGATTATTTGGTTGACGCTAATCTGTGATCTAAACCATCTTTTCGATAGTATAGGTTGTTTTGAATTAAATATCCACAATAATTATTTTGAAGTTGAATTAAAACTTATTGTAAAAGTAGTCTGATGTACATTTACCTGTTTGAATTGTTTCTTAGCTAATTCCATAGCACGTAATTCATTATATGCTAAACCGATTTCGGCTTGCAAATTGTGACTTCTACTAAATCCACTTTCGGAGAGTTTTAATAGGATTTCTAAAGCTCTTTCACCTTCATGTAGTTTCAAAAACACCTATTAATAGAAAAAATTATAAAATGACTAGTGAACGGATAATCGAAAAGTGATAAGAATTTACTTAGATATCATCACTTCAGACAAAAACGAATAGCATACATTATAGGTATAACGCAATTTGTATATTATAAAAGTAATATTTTGGCGGGTTGATGAGTTAGCTCATAGTTATCCACAGCTCGGATGTAACAATGTATTTAGTGTCTGTCAATAGAATCATATTCACTTTCTACATTAAAACAGTGTATGAATTCGCTCTACAATTTCTGGAGCTGATTCTCTCTAGAAATGTGACTCATTTACAGATTTGTGGGCTAGTACGTTTTATCATGAAATTAGCCTACAAACGAGCCGTTTCACATACGAAGCATTCTAAAAATAACAATATTAGTCAACTTTGGAAAGTCATCAGGCTCTTTAGAACTGAGGATTGTAGATTTTGAAGCACTATGAGAAGTTATTTCGAACAATAAAACAAAACTCTAAGATTTTTATGTAAAGAACGAAGTATTCCAGCTACATTGTACGAAACAGCTCTAGTTGTTAGGTAGTAGAAAGTGAGATGACATGAATTTCAAATGAAAACAATCAATGTACTGGATAGGAAAAACAATCAACAGTAATCTATAACATAAAGTACCAAAATAAATATGAAGTGTTTCTGACCTTAGCCTCAAAAAAATATCTCATCCAACATTCATCATCTGTAGGAAGATTTAAACAATTCATTTTCTCTTTATTCTCTATGAGATCAACCAATTCATACCATGCAGGCCAAAGATAAAAATTTAAATTAATCGCTTCAACTAACAATGATGCAGCAGTTTCTTTTATTCCCAATCGAAGACAAATTAAAGAATGAACATACAGTAGAAACGAATCACCAATTTTATTGACCGTTCTTATTTCATTCGATAAATTTATGTTATTTGTATACGGTTCAATTTCACACTTTATTGATAAAAGTTCTTTATTACACTTAGCCATAGATATGCATGATGATTTTGTCTCTTCATCTTGTTTTAAAATAAGTCGTGATTCTACCGAATCATTAGCTCGACGTTTTTTACATGCCATATAACGTGAGTATATATATAGGAAATAATAAACATGACCATATTTATCAATGAAATGTTTTGGATTATCATGAATTGGTTTTTCAAAATTATGAGATAATATTTCAGCACAATGATCATACTCTTGTGTATCAAAACAACTACGAGCAAGTAGAAATGTGGTCAATTTATCTGGTGGAATACTTTGATAGACATTGCTTGATGAGAAAACACTATCAGGATTAGATATGATGGGAAGATTTAAAGACCATAGTAAATCTGTAAGCCATTTACAGCTGTGACGAAGTCCTCGAAGTTGGCATTCAAAAAATGATTGTAATATGTTTCCTTGAACGGTGCATAAAGAAATTGGAAATCCAATAACTGCACTTCCATCCATATTATACAATGAGAAATGATTTTATCTAGAAAATAGGAGGCAAGATGATAAACTAATTAAAGTTATGCTATTTGCATGAACAATTTATTACTAATAACTGCAATTACTCACTATTTTGAGGTAATAATGTGATAAATACCAAACTTACTTTCAGAAAAGATACTTATTTAAGAACATAACGAAACGTAGAATGTTATGCAAGAATGCTAAGGTCCATATTGTCAGATATTTTGAACTACAAAATATCCGACAAAATAATAAAAAAAAATATCAACCGAAATAAGGGTACGAGTAGATCTAACAAAAACTAGCGACATTGTATGGAACGGTACATGTCTACACGTTAAGGATGTCAGTATTTAAATTAATTTAGAAAGTTGGAAATAATAACAAGCAGTGAAGAACTAGAGAGGAACTCAAAGAGAAATTAAAAATAAGAGGAGATATGTGTAGTAAAATCGAATGTTTGAAATTAAATCGACACAACGGATTCAACTGAACTAATGAGAACCATTTTGACCTATATCAAAACCCCAACGAGGAACACTAAAGTTTCCTGTACAACTCAACTTAGTCAGTTTAGTTTCCCGCTCAACAAAGTAGAGAAGCTCCATGGATCTCCAAACAGAGAAGGGCTTTGAAATGACGATGCGACTGGACACTGGAGAACATGTGTATAAAGGGATTAAGATATCAGTAGTATGAGTAATTAACCTGACCCACAATAAGTAATGCAAATGTATTCTTATTGGCCTACACTAATTTTTTCCTATCACTTTTGGAAGCTTTTATGCAAACCAAAAGCGTTGATTAGCTACAAATGAGTTCAACAGTAGAGAAATGTGGAAAATATTCCCAAAGTATGCTTCATATGCATATAATCAAATGCAGGTACCAAAAGTACATACGTTCCAGTGGTATACATATTGGCATGGATAGGTGAGGTTGCTAGTATGCTGTACATGTAGTTATAGAAAGCATAGGCATGTCCACACCTATCACAAATGCATATAGACATAGAAGTTTCCGATTGCAAGTATAAGATACATGCATATGTAAAAATGCATAAGCCAAGGCCCATATACTCCATAGTATACACATAGACATAGATGAGAATGCTCCAGGTCCCCAAACCCAGCAGCATTCTCACTGAATGAATATCGAGTATTGAGATCAGTAGGTAAGTCATCATAGGCGATGTGCTCACTTCACGCCCTTACCACAAGCCGGTTTAGTGTTGACTACTGCACATTGGTTACATCACAGCTTATGGCCTACGCTCTGACCCGCCCACGCCAAGCCTTATGAGCCCTCCAGTTTAATCCGTTCAGGCACCAAAAGGAAAGTTTTCTTCAATGCCTCAGTCACATTCCTAATTTAAATCAACCTCTCTTCACATATAATCAAAGTTTAGGCACAGTAGGTAATTAGTCTGATCTCCATCTGACAGCAGATTGGTTGGTTAGTGCTATAACTGAGAAAAATAATGCGGATTAAGGGATAGCGAATTATTGATCGGACCAAAGACGCGCAAACACGTAGAACGACCTAGGGTTCTGATTGGTCCCGCTTCCCTATCTAACCCAGCCAGTTGAGTCCAAAACACAAGTCACAGCCTCGGAGATATGAATCATTATATTTCAAACATACTTTGTTTATATACCAGTCAAGCAGACCACAACGTAACATAAAATAGAAAATAACATTGTACAATAATTGCCAGTAGGAAAATGACACGTTAAACAAATATTGACCAATAAGATGATACCATTTCATGTCCAAGGATAGCATTAGGCTTAACAGGATGATTTTGCGATTTTCCTGAATATCCCAACAGTTAGTCTGGCCTCCACCGTACCGCTTGAGTTAGCTCATGGGGAAGATTACCCACTATCCAGGGAGCACTACGCGAAAGTTCAGGTTTGATGTTAAATTCTGTTAAGATAAACTGGATATTTCGGCCATTCAGGTTAGTAAAGAAGTAGAGAGTTAGTAAGCCTCTATGCTATGTAGGCAAATCCTCCCTGCAAATTACGGTTCGAGATATCGTTATCTGATAATTCATCTCTAACACCAGTAGCATTATTATCAAAGTGGTTCCATCACGAGTTGTGGATACTTCAGTGATAATTATAAATAAATACATGACTTGAGATTATCTTTAATAACGGTTTTACAGTTAGGGAGTATCGGATAAATTGTTGAATATTAAACACCCGTCAATGACATAGAAAAGTGACTGTCATGCTTTTTGCATTGGCAGTACTTCCCTGATCACTGGATTCGCTGGGATGATGCCGTTGACAGATGAAATAAATATCGACTGTACTAAAACATGTTGCGACCTAACGTTAGACGGATAGGCTATGAGGTGTTAACTGACATCCAATAAGCATAAAATGCATCCAACAATTTCCAGATTACATACCATCCCAGAATACAAAATATGAACACCGTATTCACCAAACGAAATTGCGTAACCTGAATAGTCCAGGTCAGTCAAGGAACCGTTTTATAAGATATCTACCTAGAGCAGTCAAAAACAGAAACTGTTGTTATCCACTAAGTCTTGAGAAACTTAAAAGGAATGGAGCACTTTCATTATCTTTAGACCAAACTAAATAGTATTGTAATTGTTTGCATGAGTACGTATCTTCGAGTCAATAATAAAGGTATGCATAATTGTATTTGTCTACTAGAAAGCATAGGGATGTCCACACCTATCACAAATGCATATAGACATAGAAGTTTCCGATTGTAAGTATAAGATACATGCATATGTAAAAATGCATATATATATATATATATATATATATATATATATATATATATATATATATATATATATAATATCCGTATGATACCCAGCGAAGTCTCTGAATTTCCTAATTGAAGTAGATGAAGAGTGGATCGAAATAACGACTTAATTGCTAAACGCTAAATACAGCAACTATTCAGCAACTAAACTAAGCAGATTGCTTTGAATAGAATTGTCTCCGAAATTCTTGAGTTTAGAGCTATTTAACTTCTAACGGGAGATCGGGAAAAGTGAAACCACAGAAACTGGGCAGAGCTTAGGGACAGTAAGATGTATTAACCTAAGCTCCACCTTGTATCAGGTCCCAGAACTAACATAAAACTAAACGTAAGGCTCATGAGATAACTAGTGTTCATTTTGAACTACGAACTGAAATATGAGAGACGGTTGAAGAAACATTGTCGATCCAAGTAACTAAACGATCTATTTTATTTACCTAAACACAAATATAGGTACTAAAATAAACACGCATCACGTGATGAGTAAATGAAATCAGGAAGAGATAGACGGGGTGAGTATAATATTAGGAAATGGATAAAATTAAGTAAACAAGAGTAGTATATAGTTGGAGAATTAGTCCCATTAAGAACAATGCAACTGGGAAGAATCCTTCCAGTAACAGAGAGGTAAGATTTCATAAGCATAAAGCATAAATGCTCTATTGAATAAGTTTAAGGTGATCAAACTGGTATCTCGAAGCGTTTGGCGAATACGCACAATGTTCGCTCGATGCTGACAAAACCGTAAGTGGTTATACCGCTTTAGGAGACAGTAACAGAATAGTTGTATTTATTATTTTTATAGACGTTTTTTATGTCGGTTAAAGTGCATCTCTATACTTTGAACTTACGATAATTTAGCTTAACAATGTAACACGGACAAACGTTGTAGTATCCAAATTAGTTCATTGATTGAATAAATGTAAAAGGACGTTTAGACTTTTAAATATCATGATATTAATCACAGCTACGAATGATAGCTTTTCTTCACGGTCAAGTATTTACAGCTAAATATGTCTGAATGTATTGAAATTTTTCTCTTAACAATAACACACTATACAAATAGTAAAAATGTGTAGTTTGGCCGGAGGGGAGCCTTGTAATACAACTTTGAGATATTTTGGTTGTCATGTCTGAGCTCCATAGTTTATTTGTGCTTTCACAGTCGTTCCGAAAATCATCAGAGCTTGCCTCGTTAGATAAGAGCCAATGATGCTTAGGTCAACAACAAAGTCGTCAAAGTAAAGTTATTCAACTAAGATACCAAAATCTCAAGGATCATCAGGTCTAAAATAATTAACACGACGTTAACCTATTGTTCATATTTGTAAATCGAATCTTCTGACTTGAGATTTTCAAAACTCACTACGCGGTGCCGTAGTTCAGTTCCTACTTTAGACTCATACAATCAAATATATTGGACTCCACTTTGAACGAAGCAGATGTTAATGGTGCACTAGCTCTACTGTACAGATATTCAGTCCTCGTGATAGTTGCGAACAACTGATCAGTTTCATAACTTTGTTTTGACAAATTATATAAGTAGATCGTATAGCAGTGAAAAAAAAAGAGAAAGCGAGAACAAATGACCTCACATGTGCGATGCCAACTGAAATACCCGAAGGTCATAACCTTGAGAAATTAGATAACCCACCTTTCAGAAAAAATCATCAATTGCTGACCGACTATCAGTTTCAGATTCAGATTTGTGCAGTAAGGACAAAAGGCCCAAGGCCTATGTTATTCCTTTTCTAGTATGCTTCTGTGAGTGTCCAGTCTTCTCTTCAAAGAGTCAATTGAAGGTGCGGACACCACTGCTTCGGGCAGCAGGTTTCAAGTATTGATGACTCAGTGTGAAAACCTGTATGCTACGTGTATTTTGTCCGTTCTCGGCTTTTCTACTCGCCTGTTTTGTCGTCTGAGATGTCCCGATCTATTGGGAAAAGAAAGAGAGAATAAGTTAAGTACGAAATCATTTCTCAGTATTCTGTACATCAAAATCAAATCTCCCCTTAATCTGCGATAGGACAGTGTGAATAGGTCCAGCTTTTCAATCCGCTCTTTGTATGGTAAACCCTGGAGTTCCGGAATTGCATGGATAGCTGCCCTCTGTACTTTTTCTAGGATATCCGTCTCACCTTTTAAAGAGGGGCTTGCGGCCTGAACACAGTTCTCAAGCTTAG